GCATTGACATCATATGTAGTTTTATGGAAAGAGATTTATAGCAATTCCCCATAAGACACTACAGAAATCGAAATATTAAATTAGGCTCTAAAGCATTATAGATGCATAAGAGGGTTTCAAAAGGAACAAAAGATCTGCTTCTCTTCAAGATGCCAATGCAGGAGGCAATTTTTTTCGGAAATATGTTCGATATGTACGTTCCAAGTTAAGTTCTCATCTATATATACTCCAAGAGATTTCGTAAATTCTACTTGTCTAATAGAATTACCGTCAATAGTAAAAGACGGGAGTCTATTCAAAGTATTTAACCTTTGCCTTGAACCAATCAACATAATATTTCAGCCAGGGAAAATTAAAAGTTGGCCAGTCAAAGCTTTCATTGTTTACCACCCAAATTTAGGCAGAAGCCTTTCAAATGTAATGCATAGACTAAGAGTACTTTGCGGGTTCGTCTCGTTTTCCAGAAAATCATCCAATAAAAATACAACTTACATCATGATCATTCCACAACGATGGATCCAGGGAAAAGTAGATGCTAGTCAAAGTGATCATTGTTTGTCACCCAAATTTTTAGGCACAAGCCTTTCAAATGTAATGCGTAAGGTACAGCAAATGTCCTGGATGCAACATCCTAGGTGGTGGCCTGGGTTCCACTTTCCACGAATGATCGCCCCATCCAACCATTGTTAACATTTGATTTTGTGAGACAATGTACAAATAAATCTTACGGCTCGTGTCAATTTTTTTTATAGGAGCCTATTTGATAAACAGACTGCACAGACAGTCAAGAATGAACACACAGTGTTTAAGTCCCTTCCCAAACTTTGACTTGACTTGTGGAGTTGAATGTAAATTCATGTGGGACGGGTTTGGGAGGTGGTTTGGAAAGAACTGGAGGCCTTATCTCACAGGTATGTAACACGTGTAAATTGTTCTATATCTGAACCGCGTCAATTGTCGTCCTTTCTATGGAACGAAGCGAAGGAAAAAGGGCGGAAGCCAAACAAAGGATTTAATTAGACAGAAAGTGTACATGCGCATTTTAAAACTCTCACATTTCATGGCTGTCCTCTGCAAAACAACAACGTAAAGTCATCAAAATTATTGTGGTCTGAGAATGGAAACCCAAACAGCAAATTATTTAATTTTCCGTTTGGAGTTCACAGAGATGACACAATCGTAAAATCGCCGTAGCCTGGGTTCGATTTCAGGACTTTGCTTGCGTCATGTGTGGCTTTAGCTTGTTATTGGCTCGTCCACAATCTAAAAGGTTTTTCTTCCGGTAATGCACCTTTTAAATTTATCAAAAGCCAACACACTATTCGGTAATTTCATTTATTCTTTCACACTTTTTGAACCAGGTAACCCCCTATCAGTAACCTCATTGAAATGAGCAGTTTTATTCTTGTTTTTCTCGTTGCCATGTTCCCACCAATAACGTAGCTCCATTTTCTGCCTTTAAAAGCACACACAACCCACAATTCCCCTATTCGCTCCCACGAAGGGCTAACGCTCGAAACGTCAGCTTTTGTAATCGTTACGGTGGCCAATTTACCATTTCAACTTTGTTGATATATCCAAATTATTTCGTTACCCCCACCGACGCGGCCCTAAACAGTTTCTTTCGAAACTATCAGCCTTTATTCGGTTTTAAGATGATGTTGACAAACAGTAAAAGTGTTCCTGGTTATGCTTGTGGGTTCACATCCGCTTTATTTTATGCTAACTCTCCAATCCAAATGCTATTTCTTGCTTCCTATCCAGATATTTCAAACCACTCCCAGTTCAAAAGTACATCTCGTAAACCAAGGACATTATGGCTTTTCGGTGACTCAAATGCTGAGAGACTATACGTATCTTTGAAGGATGGACCGCTGTGCAATGAATTTTTCAAAGTTTGTAATTTGAGTAAAATGTGGGTTTATCCGTGGCCGAGCATACAGCCAGTAGCCTGGGACGACAAGGATTTTGATCCCCAGCAAATCCTAGATCACATCCGAGGAGTTCTGGAACTACCAGAGATGGATGAAAACAGCGCCATGATTCTGAATTTGGGTCTGCATTACATGGAAAGTACAAGCTTCGCCAATTATCGAATTCTCCTCAAAGGAGTGACAGAACTTTTAAACCAAAGGGAAAAGAAAAGTGGTAAATTGAGGTACAAGACTCGCGTTATTTGGAAAACCACAACGTCTATGAATAAAGAGAAAGACATTGGAAGCCGACTAAAAAGTGACTGGCAGCGATTTCTGAACCCTGCGGTATGCAATACTTAGTTTAATACTTTTTGTTTGTCATTATCCACTCGCATTTTTACATGTCTTCCAAGCACTTTGAGATTTCCTTACTTGGAAAATTGCTACTTTTTATCGCCCCAAGCAAAATTCTTACGGAGGATAAAGCAACTCTCTTACTTTTCCCTCTCAAGAATGTAGACCAACCTTTCCCGCCTTATTCATACTGTCCTCTGTGTGACCTTTGACCCGCCAACCTTCTTCTTTGATGTTTTGCACTGTCTATCCGTATGTTTACAGAGGAATAACACAAAACCTAAAGTAATATTGGCGAAGTAGAATGAGTCTTCAAAAGAGAGTAGGTGTGGAACTAAAACAAAACTTCGGGCTCGTTTCATAGTGCTTGATTTTCGCATTCCTATGTTTTAACAACCGATTTCTGTGCACCGAAGTCAACCCGAGGCTCTTTTTTTATAAAGGTGTTCTTAACCAAAATTTTTTAGCAAAGCAAAAACTACGAAATTTTTTAGCAATCTTGACATTGCTTTTAACACACACAGAGGGTATACTACTCTCACCAAAATCTTTTTTTTTCTTTTCAGCGAGTGATATTATACAATACCTTTGCCACTTCCCTCATGTGCCAGGCCGGCCTCGAGGTCCTAGATGTTTACCCATTTACCAGGTCCTATCCAGGAGGTACCGGAGGACCCGAGGTGGCACATTACAAGGAGCAGGATACCGTTCATTTTAAGTACATTGCTATGAAGCCAATTGATATCTTTTTGGAAGATTACTTTCGAGGCAAAGTAACACTTCCCATAGATTTTAGAAATTACGAATTTTCTTGATGCATATCAGTTATTCCAATTGAGTGATTAACAAATATAGGCTCTGATACAATGAATATATGGAAGTTCATATATTTTGAACAGCGGTTATAGATACGTATGATGCAAGATCCTCGCTATCAGATACAATGAATATGTGAACTTTCATGTATTCATTGTATCTGATTTATCATCACGGGTTTATTACGAATCAACTTAACGGCCTGCTCCCAGTTGGCTTGTTAGCTCAATTGGTAGAGCCCTGGTCTAGTATCGCAGAGGTCAGTGGTTCGAATCCCCTACAGGCCTGATTTTTTTCAGGTCTGATTTTCGCTATTGCATAAATAGCTCTCTCTACTGCGAGGATCGTACATCATACGTATATATAGGCTCTGACACTATTTTACTTGATAAATTGCATCATTGTGGGATAAGAGGTATTGTACATGAGTGGTTCTTGTCGTATTTGACTAATCGAACCCAAACAACGCATATTGATAATGACCATATTTCATCTAAGAAAGACTCGGTAACTGGTGTTCCGCAAGGGTCTGTTTTAGGCCCCTTACTTTTCTTGATTTATATTAATGAGATTTATCTTTGTAGCAATAAACTTGGCTTTTATCTGTTTGCTAATGACACAAACCTGCTATATGCTGACAAGGACTTGAAATCCCTGGAAACCGTAGTTAAGAATGAGCTAAAAAATGTATGTGAGTGGCTTAATGCTAATAAACTAACCATTAACGTGAAGAAATCAAATTTTGTCGTTTTTAAGCCAGCACGAAAAACGAATTAATCATCAGCTGTGTATCAAAATTCCGGATAATAACAACAATGAATTCACACTTCTTGAATGCAAAGATTATGCAAAATTTTTGGGTGTACTAATTGACAAGAACTTAACCTGGAGGCCTCATATTGATCCTATTGCTTCGAAGATTAATAAAATAGTCGGCATTATTGCTAGGCTTGGACATCATGTACCTTTAAATACCCTTCTTCAAATTTACCGTTCGCTGATTTTTCCCTTCACGCTCTACGGTACAGCTGCTTGGGGTCAGGCAGCTCAGAGTGATTTAAAACATTCTCACCCTACAAAAGCGTGCACACCATTTGACTTTCTTTTCCAGCAAAATATCTCCTGCTATCCCTCTTTTTTTATAACTTCGAGTATCCTATCTATTAATATGCTCTATTTTGAAACCGTTTCCACCATAATGTATGATGTTTCTACTAGCTCTACACCAAGGAATATTCGTGAACTTTTTATTAATTCATCTCACGTCCATACACATAATACGCGTTTCTCTTCCACAGAGAATTTTTATGTACAGAAATCTAGATTGCATGTGAAATTTGTCTTCCTCTGCGTTTGGTACGAGGTTATGGAACTGTCTAAACCCTGACTTGCTTTAGCTCACGAAAAGAGCATTTAAAAGGAAAATTCATAAGTTGCTTTTGACTATACTTGGGATTGAGGACTGTTATGTTGACGCCCATTCACTAATATTGAAATTCAATACAAATGATTATCGAATATTATAACTGCAGTACTTCGCTCACATCCGTATGTCACAATTCTCTCCTCTCTACTTTCTACTTTCCAGTCTGCTCTGCCTGTATTTGATTATTATGTCTTGTCTAACTTACCAGTAATTTTATTGTATTTAATTTGTATGACAACTGTACGTATCTTTTAGCTTATAATGTAGTAAACTAATGCGTAGCTTATAACTGCAGTAATATTGTAGTAGTAATTAAATCTCTTTAGCTTACAATTTATTACTAATACCCGCCAAGATCAGTTAATGCTACATATATGCGGGTTGTGTAAATTGGCTTTTGATGTTCCATGAAATAAAAACAAAACAAACAAACAAACAAAGACTAGCGTTCAGACTCCCGCAGAAGTGTGTCGCCAGTAAATCGCATGCGCCGATAATGAAAACAAACAAGGCTCGTCGCGTAAAAGGGTAATTCATGCCGATCAAGGCACCGATGCGGTTAATAGAGCTAACAGATATGAAAAGCTTGTCAAAAGTTCCGTCTAGGCAGTTTTCTTTACTAAATTGAACTAAAGGAGGTCGACAGATGAGAAAAAAGCATGTAAAAATTCATTATAAAGGGTAAAATGATCAATTTGACATATGGAAGCCGTTTGACGATGAGAACTTTTTCGTTGAGCGAAATATAAGTTCGGATTTCTGGGTCCTCTTTTTTCGTCCTGAATACAATCTTCGCTTTAGTTCTCTATACAAGCGGTCTTGGAACATTTGTAAAGGATCCCCACGAGAAAGCTCGGATGGTTTGAACTTATGTCCAGCACAAGAACACGAGTTCAAACACTCCGAGCTATCTTGTGGGGTTCCTTTACAAATCTTCCAAGACCGCTAAGCATACCTGGATGGGCATGAGCGAACCATGTCACAGTGTCTTTGCTAGGGTATGATTAATTGCATTCACATGATTTATTTATTTGTACTGTCAGGAGCAGATAGTTTCTTTCTACGAAGATTAGTTTTGTTCGTGATAATTCCCCTCTATGCGCGAATTAAGCATCTGGACTTTTTTTTTTACCTTTTCTTTTCGAAAAAAGCATAAGCTTAAATTTGATATCTTTCACACCTGTAAACAAACAAATATTCCCTTTTCTTTTAAAAAAGGACATGAACACTGAGCGTTTTGATGGAAAATGAGCAGCTTTATGCAACCGTCGCTGTCTTAGAGCTTTTAGATCCTCGAAAGTATACTTAAAAGTACCCTTCGCAATCAAGATTAATTAAGTTACGAAAGATGCAGCTGGTTTCTTTTATTTATCACTAAACGCCATAAGGTCCGCTAGGCAATATTCTAAAAACATGTTTTTAACATGTAATGAAAGAAATCTTATTTTTTAGGAGCTCTCATCTACATAATGAATTTTACTGAGATCAAATAAACATTACAAAGCCCCGTCAAATTCACTGTATTATAAACGTGGACCGAGAAAAGTTTAAAGTGTCTTAACCCTTTGTCGGAGCGAATCACTTCGCTCTGACCAAGGGCTAACGTTCGAAACGTCAGCTTTTTACTCTTTACGGTGGCCAATTTACGATTTCAACCTAGTTGATATAACCAAATTGCATTTAGAATTGACGGCTACACAAAAGGGAAGAGGATTATGTGAACCCGTAGAAACAGCCGTGGGGATATTCCACGCATGTCATCAAAGGTCGTTTCCATTCAAACATTTCCTGTCTTGTGGTACTTCAATGTCTTTCAAACCGGATACTTCTTTATCCAGGTGATGCAAAAAAACAATTTCTCGCCAGCCGCAAGAATTATACAAAAGACGCTACACAAATTGGACGATTCTTTTCCTTTACCAATATTACTACGAAGGGTGAAAGTTTTTTTTTATATATACGAGGTATTCTGGTATTGTTATGCTCTTTGACGGAAGATTTAGCATTTCTTACTTTAAGTATTAATTTGAATAAAATTTGAAAGGTAATTAGCTAGACTATTAAAGGGCAGCGCTGCTCGATAAGACGTTGATTACGAAGAAATTATTTTTACGGTATAAACTTCCTCAATTTCCAAGGTGGAACCTTCAAAATCAACTTTAAATCGCTAAAGGAGTGTGGTGATTGAGTGGTAATTTAAATAGAGGACAGTGCTCCTTGATAAGACGTTTAGTAGGAAGAAATTATTTTTCAGTGTAAACTTCTCCAATTTTCAAGGTGGAACCTTCAAAAATCATCTTTAATTATTTTTCGCCCGGTAAAGGAGTGTGGTAATGAACACGACTTCTGAAGTTCCTGGTTCAGCGCATTCACCATCGTATGTTTTGCTGGTGTTTTCCCAGGCTCTAGCTGTTCTCATCATCGCAGGAAACTCTCTCGTGATAGTAGCGTACAGACGCAATGCTTTCCTTCACACACGCACTAATATCTTTATTGTGAGCCTGGCTGTTTCAGATTTACTGGTCGGAGCAGTTTCCGTGCCGATATGGACTTACTTCACGTTTGTTAATTTCCAGAATATTCTGACAATTTTTCTGAGGATTTACTTATGTTTTGATATATTCAGTGCCTTGGCCTCCATCTTTCATTTTACGGCGATCGCTATCGAACGTTGCTATGTGATTTCAAAGCCGTTTAACTATGGCACGTTAACGAACCGTGTGTACAAAATCTTGATATTTACAGCATGGCTGATGGCAGCGATAATAGCAGCACTCTCGCAAATGAATACATCGATAACGCTTAAAAGGGTATATACGGTCTTCGTTTTTACGGTCGGCTTCGTGTTACCAAGTATTTTGATACTGACAATGTACACGAAGATCTTCCGAACCGCCAGGTCGCTGATTCGTAAAACCCCGGGCTTGGAAACAGCACAAGCAGTTCTGTGCAAGGCTCGTGAAGAGCGAAAAGTTCTTTTGACGGTCAGCATTTTAACAGGTTTGTTCCTAATGGCATGGTTACCATTCTTTGTAATTTCAATGTTGGCTGAGTTCTGTGTTGGCTGTTTGCCGAATGGGAACGGTATGACTGCGTTAGTGATTTTCGTAAAATGGATGCATTATTCAAACAGTGTGGTAAATCCACTGGTTATTGTAATCCGACACAGTGAAATGCGGAAATGTGTTCTTCAGCTATGTGGAATCAGTTTAAGGAGAGAACGAAAGCAGAAAACTTCCTCGTCCAACAAAATACCTAAGGCGCTGCTCTGACTGATTGAGAGTTTTGTAATCAAGGCCAGTGAATAAGTGAGTAATGTTGCTTGTTTTGTCACGAGCTTGGGTCAATGAAAAAACTCGAACTTCTTACTTGTAATTGAGACAAAGGCCTCTGAGTTTTGCTATCGGATGTTCTACTACTGAGTTCTCGATTGTAAGGATCGGTCATTATTTGTATATCGCCGTGGGAGGGGGCTTGGGGAATTTGGTTGTGTCACATCTAAAGTTACCTCATCCTTCCTCAGGCCTTGTAGTATTCATCCATTGGGAATCAGTTCTCTATTGTCCCCACTTTATACTCTTTCGGCGAAGACTAATCCCCTCCGTTGTTCCTGAAAAGCGTGTGTCCCCCTCCCCTTCTAAAATCGTCCGATCCCCTTTCAGGCGATAAGTGATAATGGTCCCTAAGGACACATCAGGCAGATGCCACAAAATCGATCACATCAATTGTTGTATATATTCTTCTCTTGTCGCAAAGTAAGCAAGCAGCGGCCAGTCAGTATCTTTTTGGTGTATTAGATCCCTCCTCGTGAAAAAAAAGAAATGCCTCTCTGAAAAGGATAATCCTTTCCAGAGACCTTTATAGAGAGATGTGAGAATAACTTTTTACATCCGAGATCGCCTTCATGCACACAGTGGGAGATAATGCACGCGTGGAAGCAGCGTGTGATTTATGAAGGCGCACGACTGGGGATGACGTGGTGGTGAGAGTGCTCGCCTCCCATAGCTGTGGATACGGGGTTCCTGCTATGCAAAAAGAACGTATCGAATTCAAAAGCTCCTTTCCAGATTTAAAACGCACTATGGCGCTAAAACTGAGACAGGAAAACTGCCTTACGGTCCTTTAGCACACAAATATTCACAGAAAAAAAAAACCCAATTTTTTAAATTAGAGTCACCACGTTGCTTATATTTTATTGAGATACTGCTCTAAATTTCCGAACATTCCAAAACATTTCACTGGTACTGGTGCCGCACCAACAAGGATTAAGCTCGCGCATTAGGAAAGTAATAAGGCCCTCAAGCGACTTGAGTCTCTCTTGGGTTTGTGTAATCCGATACAGCTGTGCTGCATATAGAGTGAAAAGTTTGTCACATAAGCAATAATAGTGAACACTTCGTGATCCTCCGGCTACGCCTGACATTGTGTGTGAACTTAGCGTTGTCTGGAAGTTTGAAAATGATAGGAAATTAAAACGAAGGATTGTTTTGCTGAATCGCACACATCATAGTAACAAGTAAATATGAGTGTGCTTTGATTTCACTGTTATAGTTGATGAAATCGACCTTTGCACTAGAGTATAAACCAAAAATCCGATTACTTTGAAAATGTGGTTGATTCTTGTATAAAAGGAATAAAAAAGTTAAATAATTACTTATTTGTACGAAAATGATGAAACTTTATGTCTTAATCAACATAAAAAACTAAACGAAACCATATCAAGTTGCTTCATAGGTCTCATCATTCAAATAGATATTTCTTAATTAAAACATGCTATGCGCGCGCCTGCTTGCACAGCAAAGCTCATTTGTGTTTGGAGTTTAGGTGACCACGTGCATATCTCCATTTTGCGTGCGCATGTTGCGATAGCGAATGACAAGATAGACGGTAGCGCAAATGACAGCTACAGCCACAATACCGCATACTGCTCCAACAATTGCTACCGTCTGGAAAGACTGGCTGGTCTCCTCTTGGTCGTCAGATGCAACTGAAATGGAGCAAATTGATCTCAGATTAATGATTGAGTTAAACTATCAAAAGCGTAGGCAAGATTATGATATCAGAGATCATACCGTTCCCTTTTTTTATTTATTTTTTTTAATCAAGGCAGAGCAACTGAGAATATATGAAAAGGGACATGTCATAGCTTTTCTTGAGGTTTTCATCCAGCCTTAGAAATTTTCCGTTAGTCTTCATTACGCTGTATGATATTACATTATCTACCGAGGTTCTATAAGATGGCTGGTGTGGCCTCCATTTCTAGCTTGGTCAGTGACCATGGAAAACTGCTCTTGATAAACAGAAAATGTGGAAAGCCCTGTCCCATATCTACCTTCATCTTTGTTCAGTTCTTCTTCCTCAAAAGTGAATGGACCGGAAACAACATGATAAAGCTGCGACTCATCCACCGAATCAGATATTGAACGACGATGTCTACGCGAAAAATCGGTGGAAGGATCACCGACGCAAGATTCAGCATAGTCTGGACATTCACAAGCAGTAATGGCTTCATCTGCCAAGCAAACTCTGAAATCGCAGTGGATGTAAACAGTGTCTCCTGCGTTTGCTCCAAAGTACCGATACGTTTTGAGTGACAATGTTTTCGTCGTGCTGTTGGCGGCACAAGCGTATGATAATGTGTCGCCGAGATCTCAGCTGACATTATAGCTGCCACAACTATGAAAGAAATCGGATAAAAAAAAGATATTAGTAAACAATTTGAACATAATTCCCCTTACTTTCGAGGTAATATTTTCAATATGATAAAAATATTTAATGATTGTTGTTGTCATCGTTATTATCATTATTTTCTAGTCGGCTTGTTTAGCGAGCAAATCTATATCACAGATATTCTTACCCGTTGGCTATTAGAATAAATTTACCATCAGTAGCAGCTGCATCGTTGCTTTTTGATGAATAACAACTCACGGAGTACAGGTCAAGGTTTGGTGCGTTGCTTTGAGCTTTGACTTCAGCCTTGAAGAAAACGTCTACATTCAGATTAATAGGGTTGGGAACCGGTGTCTTATGTTCGGCGTCTGAATACCCCATGAGAGAAAATGTGAAAACTCCAGCCGCTAAAGTTGACAAAAAAAGAACAAAAACAGTGAGTAAGGATGAGTAAAAAAAAAAAAAGAGATAAAGACTTCATTAATAAAGAATTCTCTCGTTCTGACAAACGCAAGGCTATGTTGTTATCAAATTAAATGAAGTGAAGTCTAGATATTTATTCAATGAATAAAGGCTGATAGATTCTAAAGAAACTGTTTGGGGCTGTGTCGGTGGGGGAAACGAAATAATTTGAATATATCAACAAAGTTGAAATGGTAAATTGGCCACCGTTACGATTATAAAAGCTGACGTTTCGAGCGTTAGCCCTTCGTCGGAGGGAATAAGGGAATTGTGGGTTGTATGTGCTTTTAAAGGCAGAAAAAGGAGCTACGTGTTTGGTGGGAACATGGAACCAAGAAAAACACGAATAAATTAGTGGAATGAAAAGCGTTCGTTGATACTTGTGGGATTTAGACTGCCGGTTTGAAAGATGAGCTCTTGTTCAAGAGTTNATATGATGGTAAAGTTTTGACGATGGGAGCCATAATTTTGTCCAGATAGTTGGAGATAAGTTCGGTAGGGTAACTGCAAGCCGAGACAATGGGCCGACCCGGGTTGTTAGGTTTGTGAATTTTAGGTAAAAAGTAAATACAAGAAGTTCTAGGAGTGGTTATGATGAGATTTTTTGCTGTGGCCGGCAATTCTTGTTTAGTTATGAGTTGGTTGATCGTATTCTTGACGGCGTTTTGATTGCGGGCAGTGAGGTCTTTGTCGACCTTTTGATAAAAAGAGGTGTCAGAAAGTTGCCGCAAAGCTTCTTTTTGGTAGAGGTCGGTGCGCCACACAACGACGTCTGAGCCGCCCTTATCAGTATTGACACTATCTGCCAAACAAACTCTGAAATCGCAGTGGATGTAAATAATGTCTCCTGCTTCTGCACCAAAATACCGATAAGTTTTGAGTGAGAATGTTTCCGTGATGCTGTCGTCGGTACAGTTGTATGATAAGGTGTCATCGAGATCTTGGCTGACACCATCGCTGCCACAACTAGGCAAGAAATAATAATAAATGGTATAAGAAAATAATGTAAACGTAATTCGAGGTAATAAATCTTATCTAAAATGGAGAAGAGCCATGCAGGTAATTCCACAGCATCAGCTGTATATTGTATCCTGAATTGATACCAGACACACAACATGCAAGAAAAGTTTCCCACGAAAACTACAACGGTAGGTTTTAATTGGGGTTTTGGAAGGCTAAGGCTTACCATTTATTGGCAAGAAACTGAAAAAAAAAAAAACCTGAATGAAATTAATTATTAAAGGTGAGCTCTACTTCTTTTAGTACTAGCCAGTGTCACTCATTCATGGTTGATCAGTAGTTTGACCGAGTCTCACAGAAACTAGTATGACTGTCTCAGACTATCAGGAGTCTGCACTGACGGCCATTTTTCACTTAGATTAAGAACCACTTGCACTGGGAGTGATAACGATACAATATCAGACAGTTCAAGACAAATAGAGGATATTTCATGGCCGCGCGGGGATACGAAATTTATCTTCGAGTGCTGTAAGTATCCTTCACGAGTGTGCGAAGTGAACGAGTGAGAGATACTTTGAGCACGAGAAGATAAAAATTCGTATCCCCAAGCGGCCATGTAATTTTCTGTCTATCTTATAGATACTAATGAAATTTCCACATAAAACACAGTTTTTTTATTCATTTTCGAAACAGCAAAATAGTGCAATTAAAGTGGTCATCTATCGCAAAATGCTTGTCATAACAATGTTATGAAACTCGGATATAAAGTTATAAAGAAGAAATAAAGACAACAACACTTGTAATTTCTGTTCCGAAAAGTCAAAATTCTAATGAAGAAGAGGAAAATTCTATAGTAATAAAAGTAACCATGTTAGTAACCATGGCGACAATATTATCCTCACACGTAAAAGATAAAAACTAGTATCTTCACTGCGCGCGACGAAGTTACGATTTTTTAGTAAAAGGTAAAATCCTGATACTTCATCAGTATCTTATATAATAATAGTATCTGGTCTTCCTCTAAAATGTTTTAAAACTAATTATAATTGTTATTGCCATTGTTATTATCTTTATTATATTTTAGTCGTGTTTGGTGGGCAAATTGATATCACAGAGATTCTTACCCGTTGGTTATTAGAGTGAATTTGCCATCAGTAGAATCTAAATTACTGCTTTTTGATGAATAACAACTCACGGGGTACAGGTCAGGTCAAGGTTTGGTGCGCTGCCTTGAGTTGTAACTTCAGCTTTGAAGAAAATCTCTACATTCAGAGCAAGAGAGCTGTTGGTAACCGCCGTTTTGTATTCGGCGTCTGAATACGCGTTGAGAGAAAATGTGAAAACTCCGTCCGCTGAAAGTTGACAAAGAAAGAACAAAAATAGCTAGTAAGGATGAGTAAAAAAAAAACAAAAAAGAGATTAAGACTTTATTAATAAAGGAATTTGTTCTGACAAACGCAAGGCTATACTGTTATAAAATCAAATGAAGTGAAGTCGAGATATTTATTTAAAGCTAATAGCTCTCAAATTAGAACTCAAGTCCTCCCGTAGCAGTCACAGATTATTGACAATGACGAAAACAAAACTATTTTGAAATCCAGATCATTACAAGGTAGTTGATGATAACAACTGTCTTTGAACCAGCATGCATTAGCGGCAGTTCGGTAGCGTAAAGGATGAAAGGTAACACTTTCTACATTACAAAACGAAGTACTCCGTCACGTTTTTGTTATGACAAATTAAAATCAAATCAACCATATCTTGATATAAAGATTATTTGTCCCTTTTTTTTTTTTTCCATCGGCCACTTAAGGATGGCTAGCCGATACTTTCGTTGGCAAAGCGGGTTTGATATGGAGGAATCTCCACTGTGCAGAAATTCAAACTAAGATTACCTAACATAGATAAAACATGCTGTTTTCTTGATCAGAGCCACATACCTGTATCGTTATCCGCTCGGTTCTTGATCGGCACAAAACTCGCTGAAGCCCTTCCTGCATTATCGTAGGAACACGAGACGTAGTACAGGTGGTCGTAAGCGCGTAACTGGCTTGTGTTTGGATCAGTAAAAGTTTTTACAGCGCTTATTCGGAGTATGTAAGTTAGGTGTGAAGTATTTTGGTTTGACTCTAAAGTGCAGTTGGGGAGGGGGAGATTTTCATAAGTAACTGTTTCAGCACCAACATCAATTGTTGGCTCACACTCTGCATAGCCTGTCTTTGTGGCCCACTCTGCTTCGTTCCATTGTGCTGCATCATCCACGTTTGAGATCGATATATTCACAGTGTGATCAGAGTTACAAGTCCCGTTGGCCTGCGGCCCACCTAAGTGAGAGTTACTGGAGTGAGAGTAGAAAAAAATTAACTCCAGTTCTTTCATTTATGATAGGTAATAACACATTCTATTTAGTTGAAGTTGTAATTAAAGAGAGGGACTGTGTAATGATAAAATGTTAACGATTCCAAATTAAATCGGTGAAGAAATCACAGATTTCAATTCTTTTATTTCGTAATTGCTATTCGTAGTGCTTCGACACAATTGTCAATTTATGAAACCTACGAAAAAGGAAAAGTGGTCATCATAATTTTGGAATCAAGAGTAATACAGACGAAATTATTGTATTACCTTTCGTTTGTCGTAAAACAAGCATAAATGCCGCCAAAATAATTGCCCTCTTCATGTTGATAATTAGTTTCTCTTGGATCTGCGGCAACGAATAAATAGATAAATAAATAGATAACAACAAACAGAGAAAATAAAGAGCAAATAGAGATTACGTTATTGAAAAAGGATAAGCGGTGGTGAAAGGGATGATCGTGGAGCAGACTGAGAAAAAAGCAAGAGGAAAAGCTGTGAGAAGAAAAGAAAATAGAAGAAACATCAATGACAAAACAGAGACACATCCTTGAAGATAAAATTGAAAAAAAGAAGTAGAAGATGCATGGAGAACAGCGTCGGCAACGAAAAAACAAAGCAAATTGGAATTTATTCAACGTTCCAAAAGAGTGGCACGGTGTTAAACTTAAGTGAAAAAATGTAATAAATTAAAGGCCGTCTTCTTTTTTTCGGGGAAGAAATGTTCTTTCATAACTTCACGAACTGCCATGGCGTTTATTTGGTTTTATCAGCTAAGCTGATAACGCAAGTTGGCAACCTTAAAGATTTTCTAAGCTGACGTTTCGAGCGTTAGCCGTTTTTCAGAGCCTTTCGTCTTCGCTCTGACGAAGGGCTAACGTTCGAAATATCTTGGGTCACACCTGGATAAACTGACAAAGACAACGAGCGAAGTCGACATCAAGCATAAGAATATTACTCAACCAAGAAAATATCAGATGATATTCTCTTGCGTTGACACAATTTCATCACTTAAACCTACGACTCCATCCGCGTTTAATTGAAGAGCTCTCCATTTTTGTTGAAAAGCATTTCTCTAATTTAGCTTTATCCCAAAAGATAAAGGAGGAGAAAAAATTGAAACGAAAATTTTCAAACCTACCAAAAGTCTCTTGCTCTATCAAATAAAGAAATTCGGCGATGGAAACTGAATTTTAAAACAATGACGCGACACTTGGTTATGCCCTTTGCAAATAAAAGAGAAAAAGCAACGAAACCCGTTGACAGAACTCGTGAAAAATACGTACTTCAATCGTGCTGCTGCCTCTCCAGAGTCTGATGGCGAACTGATAGAAGTTATTCTGTACCGAGCTATTGAGGCTATTGATGTCAAACAAAAAGCCGGCAAGGCGGAATTAGGGTTAAGAATGGGACGATTATAAAATCAAAAGGACAACTGAAGCATTAATTAAATTCATTGTACAGCATTTTGACCTACTAGAGATCCTTAGCCTCTTAGAACTGAACTTCTTAAGCTTGTGGATTGGACTAGTGAGTGGCAGATATATTTTCATTCCATGAAAACATAGTTCCACCGAAGAGCTAACACTGAAAGTTCAGCTTTGAAATTCTTTATGGTGACCAATTTACATTATCAACCAGTTGATAAAACCAAATTATTTCGTCATACCCTCCACCTAGCTATACAACGGCACATTTTCTTTAGAAACGCACCCCTCTTATTCATAAAGACAAAGGTTATTAGCAGTCGTTTCGTAACCACAGTCGTTTCGTACTCAGAATGTTATATATAACACTTGCCTTGGGCTAGGCCAGGCAATCATTTAGTATTTTGAATTAATGTATATGCAGTGGTTCAGGTACGAACCGACTCAAACTGGTTTCGAAACGACAGGAAACGAAACGACCGTGGGTACGAAACTACTACATTATCAACTCAGTTGATAAAACCAAACTATTTTGTTGAAACCCCACCGATGCAGCAGCACAGTTTCTATAGAAACTAACCTCGTTTAATCACGTGCACAAACTGAGGTTATCAGTCGTTTCGTAACCACGGCCGTTTCGTACCCAGAATACTATGCATCACACTTACCTTGCGCTAAGCACGCCAATAATCGAGTATTTTGAACGAATGTATATGCAGTGGTTCGGGTTCATGTATGACCTGTAGCTCGGGTACGAATCGACGCAAACTGGGTACTAGGCTATGAGAAGTCCTCCTTTTCGGCGAAGTCAGTAGCGCGAGTCAAAAAAAATCAGTGAAAAAAATTGCTGTTATCACGCCAGGGGGAGCTTTTGAAGTGACGTTGATGCACTGCAGTAGGTGTCATGGAGCTCCTGCAGTGCATCGGTGTATTTGTTTTTTTGGCTCGTGCGATGGACTGCTCGTAGTCTAGTAGTTTCGTACCGGCGGTCGTTTCGTCTCCTAGCTCCTGTCGTTTCATTTCGAGCGCCTCACTCATGGAGCTCCTGCGGTGCATCGACGTCACTTCAATAGTTCCCCGTGGCGCGTTAACAGCACTTGTTTTCCACTGACTCGCGCGCAACGGACTTCGCCGAAAAGGAGGGACTACCTGTAATAGACGAAACTACTGGGTAGTTACACAAAGAAGATTTGAAATTAAAATACTACTTGAAAAGAGAGTCACGGGGTTAATCCTGTGTAAAAAAAAAAATTTAAACATAGAACAATCATCAAAAATTAAATCGGTAAAACGTTGAAGGATAAAAAATAACTAAATACTTAGTTCAAACTAACAGAGTGCTTGATTGCAGCTAGCACTTTGTTTGCTTTATCCTCAATCATGAATTGAATAATTGTTCACGTTTATCAAAGGGTTCCTTACGGCGTATTTTTTAAATGTTTTACAAGGATTTTCAGCCCTTGGGAATGCGGTAGTTTTATTCGTGTAAAATCACGATCGTTCTTTTTACGTGTGTTCATGATATCGCTAATCAGCTGCTGACATGTCGCTCGCCTTTCACGCCAATGTCGTTAATAAAGTCTATTTTTCTTGTAAGTAAAGGCCTATGGTGAGCTGCGCACACCCGCGAGATATCTTGGTCGAACGCTCGAAGAGAAATTTCACATCTATGCGCGCCCATGTACTTTTCTCTGTTTGGTAATTAACTTAGGTATCGCGTGCCGGTAAGTAATGTGCATGGCTGCACCGTTATCTGCATGAAAACGTAAATGAAAAAAGGGGACAAGTTTGTGAAGAAACAGTGGTAGTGCGTCAGTTGATGAAACCAAGTTGTCTTTGTTTGTATGGATGTAGCAATTCTACTTCATGAATATTGTACTTATGTATAGTACTATGTATATGTGCGCATGCATGTATGACCTAAAAGGAAGTCAACGGGGCCGTTAACCATTAAGTAGTCGTGTGGCGTAAAATTGATCAAATTTAACCGTTATTCGTAAACTGAAAACTTAACCTAAAAAATATTCTTACCTGTCTGCGATCTATCATTTTGAAAGTGTCTGGTCTATCGCATTATTTTTCATCATCTCCACTGCGGCATCCCTGCTACTCTATCTATTTCTTAAGACCTGGCCTTTGCTAGAATCAGTAAGAAGAGTTCTAGAACAAAAGCATTCTCTCCATTCTTCTCCAAAGAAATCTGAAATCTGGGCCACTGAACACCCTACACCGATTGGTTAAATTAATCTTTTCATTTAATTTTTAAAAAGAAATACCAGACAGCAATTGAACAACATTGTTTCAGCTTAAGTGTATAATAACTAATAACCTTATTCTATATATATTTTCAATTTGCACTTGTTCCAGAAATAGTCCGAATAAACGTACCTGGTGTCCATTTCTAAGGGCCGAGGAATAAAATCCCTCATTGATCTTTTGCCGGTTTTCGTGTCAAATATTTTTTCGCAGTCGTTTTCTAATAGAGATTGTACAGATCCGTGGGCAAAAAAAATGGATACTAGTACATTTATGCCGACTTATATGTTGACAAGCATGCTATATCACTCAGATATACTTTAATTTTACTTCTGAGTGGATTTTGAAAGATATTTTAGCCTTGAACCGAAACTACTGCGCCAAACGGTCAAATGTCTACGGATGTGCTAACGTTGTAACGACTAGTTGACGTGCTTACAGCCAGGCTTTCAAAACCATGCTGTCTCATACGAACTACAAACAACCACAGAAGCCAGGGAAAGCCAGTAAGTCACGGTATTTTAAAAGCAAATAACCCTCTAGGTAAAGTTCAAAACAGAATGGTAAATCAACAGGAAAATTGTTCTTGAAGAAGCATTGTGTTCGAAAAGTCTCGAATTTTCCTTTCCCCTATTTTTGTTTCCTTTTATAGATTTGTATGAACGTTTCAATTTTCTTTAACTTATTTCGCGAGACAGCGGTTGTTTATGTTTTCCTTGGAAATTTGGGCGGGAAATTGGCACGAGGCCTGCCAGAATTGATTCCCATGCGCATGCCCGACGTTTGACCGTAGTGTTCTTTCTTATCTGCTAAGGCTCTTTCTCTGACATTAATAATATATTAACTATATTTGACAATAGCTTTCTCTTCTAAGCAGCAACCTTAAATGGATTGCTGCGTACGTCGTATTATCTAGCTTGGCTCCCGAGAGCTACTGTCACGACTAAAACCGCGAAGTGTTCAAAACACCTTCAGGTGGTAAAAAAAAAAAAAGATTCTCGAGGCTCATTTGAAGTCTTAACACGTGGTTTAAGTTAGACTTTGTGTTACTAGCCCTGTTTGAGTTCCATGGGCAACAAAAATCATCCATTGAGGGACGAAATGTTCTTAATGAGTGAAAAAATGAGCAAGTCACAGGAAAAAGTTTTGTGACGAGATTTTGATGTTAACATTAAATGTCATTAAAGATAGTCTCACTTCACTTGCTCCTTATCTACTTCATTTTCCCCTCAAGATTTAGCTATGAAATCAGCTCTTAGAGAGCAGTTTTTTATTGCGTGTGGAAATTAATCCGAAATTGCCTTTGTTAAGCTTTACTCTGCTTTCTGATTGGCCGAGAAAACTTGCGCCACTCTCTTAACCAATAAAATTTAAAACTACTGAGAACCAATCGTGCGTCTTGTCCACTCAGGTTTTTCCGCGCCTCGGGCAGTTTGCTTGTTTTCTCATTGGCTTCTGGTGATTTTCTCATCTCTTCTGACGAGATATGTTCAGAAATGCATGCAATAACGAAAATGGCGAAAAATTCGTCAAAATCGTCAGATCCACCAAGCTGATTTCGCTTTAACGATTTGTCTAAAATTCGTCTAAATCGTCAATTTCGCTTTGACAATTTTGACTAAAATTCGCCAAAATCGTAAAAGTCATGTACATTCACTCATTCACTCGCCATTTTCGTTTCTATGGGCATTTCTGGACAAAAGTGATTCTGACTGGCCGCATTGCGTTTGTTTTTATTTTACGATAGTCGATCGAAAAGCGCGCTCTATCGTGAATGCAAATCGTCATAGACTCCAAGTATTCTCCTCTGAGTTTTATACATTTCCCAGAAAAATAATTCGAAGAATTTGAAGATATATATTAATATTAGAACCTTAAGACTGTTCTTGGCACTTGTATATGATATGATGTAGTGCAAGTATAAAAAGAAGTATAATGTCAGTCACCCAGGACAGCCAAGGTGGAAGTGTTAGGCATCATCGGCGAGGATGCCCGTTCTACATCGAGCTGGATGGGAACAAAAAAAGGACCATTGCGAAATGAGCTATCACTAGGGATGGGATCATCAACCCTTTTGTTCTCAGATGATAATCTCCCTCCAGGGCTATTTCTTCGTCCGGAAGAGCTTGTGTCGTTGTTAAGATTATTTCTCGTTCTTCCCCGTGATGGAGACGGATCACTGTTTCGTCTGCTATGGGCCACGGCAGACGCATGAGCTCGAATATTTCTGTGTGGGACGCCACGACAGCCAAAACAAGTCAGCAACAATCTTTTAAAGGTTTTCCTCATCTCGCCATTGCGGTAAGCATACACCATCGGGTTTACCATACTATTGGAGTAATGCATCCACTTCACGAACCGAATAAGCCTCAGAATTTCAGGAAAAGGTGGCAGTAAATGATGCCAGAACTCTGCAAACAGGTTCACGACGCAAAATGGCAACCACGCGATTATAAAAAGTCCGGTGATGACCGCGATGGTGGCAGCAATTTTGGCTTCAGTTTGTGCGCTGTTTCCTCCGTGTCCTATGGGATGGACCCTAGCTCGGGAGGTCCCCTTAGCCGCCTGGAAAATGATGGCATACATAGTCACTATGATAAGTGCTGGGACAGCAAAGCACGCTATAAAGAGAATGATGCTGTAAGGTTTCTGCCACTTGCTCATCTGAACGGGAAACAGTCCTGCCATGATAAAAGCGAAGCTCCACGCAGCCATGATCATCCCGTAGTAAATCCACATGGAATAAGCTCGGTGGTTTATCGGCCGAGTTATCGCCAAATATCGTTCCATACTGATCGCAGTAAGCTGCAGCACTGAGGCACAACCAGTGAAAATGTCCACCGTTGAATAAAATGTAAGTAGGTCTTTATCTATCACGCATGTTATCAACTGTTGGCAAGACGAGATGTAAATCCACAACGGAATCGATATCAGCCCAACCAAGAGGTCTGATACGGCTAAGCCGACCAGGAAGGTGTTATTTATGGTGCGAAGCCTTCTATTAAACCTGAACGCTGCGACGACAAGAACGTTTCCCAGTATTATAAACAGCGACAGAAAAGCGTAGAGGATCGTTGATGCGATGTTTTCAGCATCTTCGTTCGGCAAAGTCGGAAGAGCTTGCGGGGGAGGATTTTGACTTGCTGGGGCTGAGTTTTCGTTCATGTCAGCCACTTGTTCCGCTGTTTCCTCAATCTCGATTTCTTCTCTTTATTTGTTTTGACCTGTAAGACAACAAAAGCAAATAACAGAATGCCCCGTGTCATATGAGAATATTGATTTTAAACCGACTTTTGGCAAGGGAAAATACTCATTCTCCAGAGAATTCTTCATAATAAACTAGTTAACACCTAAATCTGTTTAATAATGACATTTTTGATGGAATAGTGGTCGTTATAATACTCAATTAAAGAATTCTTAAGCGGATTTTCTTGAATAAAAAGACAAGATTAGCTTCGAGGTGAGCGTCATATTCATAACTAAACTTTGCAACGTGAAGATATTTTAAGCAACTTATGAATCCGTCGAGTTCAAGTGGTTTTCAAAATTATTATTCACGCACAATGAACGATTGACAAAGCGTGCAGAGTTAATCCAAACACAATGAAAAATTCTTTGGAAGACAAAGCCTCAGTTGCCAGGCAACGGAAACCTTGAAAAGTAAAAGATAATATTTACCTTTTGATTTGGCAAATTGCATGTAAAAACTCCGTTGTGATATTGTATAAATTGTTGAAATTGTTGGTAGAGCCAAATAGAATTATGTTTTTGAGTCACGTCCAGTGTTTGTTGACCTCTCTTTCTCCCGAAACTGAGAAGATTTTTCATCCACGAAAACCCAGGTTCTTAACTGACTCTTTTAATTTGAAGAGCTTTTGCGGCTCGCAAATCAATTTATTGTGCTCTGTTTAAAATCCAGTAGAATAGGAGCAGCGGTTTGCCTGAGGCTGGCAGCGCTAAATACTGAGAAACATGCACAAAAACCGCGAGATAACTGGCCTTTTTCAGTCCATTCACAGAATTTCAATAAAGTGAGCTAAGTGGCTTTTTTCAGTCATCAACAAAACATTGGAGTCCTCTTGAGCGTTAAAGCGCAGTACAAAACACACTTCCTCAATGCATGTAAAGACACCCCAAAAGCGAATATGAGGATGTCGACAGTTCTTTTCTCTTTCAAGTCAATTTTTCTTGTTTTGTTTACAGAAGTAGCACAGTTAATGCTTTTCTTTTCATTGTAAAGCCATTAAAACTGATTTCAGTGTTGGCCGAATAAGAATGCGTGATTTTGTGTTCAGGTGTCAAATGACTTTTGTGTCGTCAGTACCTTTCAGCTGAAGTGATAACCTAAGGAAATAATGCATCAGTCTCCCACTTCATTGTGGCGCATTAATTAAATCTCTTCTTGCTAAGTGCGTCAAAACAAATCTCACTTTAAAATTTGTCTTGGAGGAACATTTCAAAAACCCTCACAAGCAACAATAAGACAAAACCTATGATCATTTCTCCTCCGTTTTTCATTTTTTTTTTTTTTTTTGCATGTCCTGCAATCTCACCCACGAACTCAGGTTTACTAAATCTGAAAGTGAATGTAAAGTTGTACAGCTCACGTAAAGCGATCGTTTCGATTATTACGAGTAGGCTGAGCCAAGAGATAATCTTTTAGTTCTAAACGGAAAATATAGCATATATTTATATATGTCTAAAAAAGGCTTTTTTTTTTTAAATGAATTGTCTATGGTATGGTTTCTTTACATCTTTTCGCTACCTGTTGTTCTTGGCGCGTGACGTTATTCTTTGGCCGCGTTAAGTTCGGTGTGCTTCTTACTTTAAACTACAAACGTTATTTGCATGATGGCTCTTGTGTAGTTTACCCTTTTTTTCGGCTCTTGACTCACCCTTTTGTATGCGTTAAAAGACAAATCAAACCAACTTTGCCTAGGATTGCTGCAGCAGCTGCTGTAACTGCGATTGAAAACAAATTTTTCTGAGGAACGTCTGTTTTGCCACTGCGTGGGAAACGAAGAGAAAGATTGGAAAATTCTAACTTCGATTTCACCGGCAGTAAAATCCTTTTCAGGAAGCTGTGCTGTCAAAATAAGAAAACATTTTTTTTGGTAATTTAGAATGAATTAGCCCAATTAATACGCTCTTGGCGACATTTTTCCATAAAAGCAAAGTAATTTTAGTAAAACGTCGGATGTAAGAACCTTATCTGATGCGAGGATTCATAAACACATTTTCTAAAAAAAATCATGGATTTTCATAAAAGTCATTACTTATGATTTATATAAACTCGTAAAGAAAAATAGCGGCTATTTTCACGTCTTGTTGAGATGTATCCATGTTAATTAATAATTAACAGCTTCAGAGTGGAAATTGCTTTTAATAAATGAATTACAAATTAATTAGCGAGCACGGAAACATCACCTGAAAGACAGGCATTCAAATATGTATTTAATTTTTTCTTTTGGTTAATGATATCCCAAGCATGGTCCCTGGCGGGTAGCCAGGCCATCTCTAAAGCCGACGTTTTTATTACTGTTTTGTTTTCGTTTATTCAGTCCATCTTTTATGTTGTTTTATTTTTCCAGAAATTTAGAATACGTCGGCGCGTTTCCGTTAAGGAGGACCAAAAATTTGAAAAAGGGAGGGGCACATACCTACCCTGAATCAACCCAAATAAAACTAGCCCCTCCCCCCCTCCTGGAACAAACCTTGGAGCTGCAACAGTGATTCAAATAAAGTTCAAGCCCGTGATGACGACGAACAGTCTATGCAAATTAAGCAGTGCGCGCTGCAACACTTATAATACAGTTAAAACCCGCGTGTAAGAATTTAGTAATTAAGAACCTTTTTGGCAGAAATTTTGGATTTTAATACCCAAAAATATAAGAACCTGTTTTACCCAGCAAAACCTGCATGGTTCTTATATGAAGAATCATTCTGGATAATGAAACAATGTTGTAGCAAAATATGTCTGTAATAATAAATATAATATAAATATATAATATATAATATAAATAAATATAATAAAAATAAATGTTTTCTATACATTTGATACTTCTATAAAACATGTCACAATACAGTTTCCCAACTGTATTTATGGCTCCCAGGCATTTATTATAATTAATTATTTCATTTCATAATTATTTAATAGCATTTTCGTTAAAGATATTTTAAGAACCTATTAAGAACCTGTTTTGCCTAAGTTGTCGGTAAATACCCCAAAACATAAGAACCTATTTTGCCAGACACGAAAAAAACTAGGTTCTTACACGTGGGCTTTTACTGTATTTACAAAGCGAGTATGCTTTAATTATCTTGGCAGTTGGTTAAAAAAAACTCAGTGTAGCAACCGATGACCTCTAAGAGGCGAAATTATCCTCATGGGTTGGTTAATGTAGTATTAAAAAATGGTACATTCCACTTATCACACTCATTTTATAATTATGCGGAATTGGTAATGGAACACGAGTTTGCAAAGATCCGCGTCCGACCTTATCACGAAAGTGATCATCGTAATTTTGAAAGATATACAGCAACATCAATACGGAAACATAGAGAGATAACAAACTAATCGATACTAGTGACGTGACTGAAAACACGAGAAGGACGCATGCAAGCCATCACGATAGGCGCGTGCTCAGTTCAACGGGTCGAACAAGGAAACACCGCATGTGATAACCACGTAAAAAACATTTAATTGCAACTTAGGATTAGTCACCCTTGGTAAATCTCTAAAAAAGAAAGCGTTCTTAAAGTTGGATACCTCTCTTTGTCCCTTAGCCTATATGCAGATGGCATCCACGAAAATTATCATCAGTGTTGTTCATGAAGCAATTATTGTTGATTTTGTTGTTGTTGTTGAAGTGGGGGCTCTTCGTTAGTTAGTTACCGGGACAATTGAATCAGCCGAGGCGTTCAGAGTGGGAAATATAGTCAGACAGCTTTTCAGTATTTCCTTTGAATAGTTAAGCTAAAATCTCCTCTATGCAACGAAAAACATACAGTAATAACACAATGCCTCTAATGAATTATGAAATCAAATTGGAGAGAATTTTTCTTAGGGCAATGCAAGAAAATAAGAGGATAAAAAAAGCTTATTAATTAACTTGCCTGGATCAAAATTGCGGTTTCTGCTTGGTGAACTCCTTAATACTATGTTCTATGCGGGTTTTAAGCTCTTAAAATTTGCGTCAAACAGACGGAACGATAAAATATTCTTGATTAATAGTGTCGTATTTGAAGGTTTCATTTTTCTTTAGCAAGTTGCTTCGAGCATCAAGCACTTTGTTTGACCAAGGGAGAATGACTACTTTAAAAAAAACTGATTGAAGGTTTTATTTCTTAGCAACAACTGAAATCGTTAAAAACTTACCAGTCACCGGTACAAGAATAAATTTTCACTTCATAGGATGAATTTGTTAGTATCTTTGGAGTCGGGTGTTTTTCACTTAAATCATTTATTCAAGTTGCTTTTTTAACTATTAAGATTTGCCATAACTGTTTAAAAGAAAAAACTGATTCTCTTTTATAAAGCTGTTGACAAACTCGTGACAATCATAAGCACGGCACATTTACTTCCGTGACCCCTCGAGAACCTGAGAAATAATACGTGCAACTTTAATTTAGGTTATCCTTCTCGGAACCATTATTCTAGAAGTTTGGATAGCCGCCTACCTTAGTGAACGCGATTAACACCTATAAGCAAGGACACACCTCAGGCTTATCCCTTGAAATATTTATACTCACTAAGAAAAATAGGAAATTAGATTAGGAAGAAATATCTAACCTCGCGTTAAGATAGTCGGTTTTAGACTTCTTCAAGTACAAGCGCGGGAGTCAATTGAAGTTTTACATGAAAATATCAACCCTGGGGCTGTGGTGAAAGATTGTCCTTTTGATCGATGAGAAAGTTGACAATTGCTTTGAAATTTAAAATAGGAATGACGCCTTATAACTTTACAATTCAAATTTGGAGCTTTGTCGGAGTCTTCAAAATTATCTGAGCTCCACAATTCTGTCGATCAAACTGTTCATAATTTTTGGGAATACAATGAAGTTTAGGAGCGTTTACAAAAAGAACGGAATAAAAAGGAAAAAAATGTCGTGCCCTTTGATCGAAATTCGTATGAAACCTGAAAAGAAAGACATTTATCTGGGAGTCCTTATTTTCTGCTTAGGTTTTGAAGATGTGTTTATCTAAAGAACAAAAAGATTCATCCGCCAAATGTTCAAAGACCAATTATACTATACTGACATAAGTTGAAACCGCAGGAAATTACGGGAAGCAATGATATTAGAATATAAAAGAAACCCAGTTTAAGGCATTGAGTTGCTTTCGAAATTAATTCAAAAATAAGAAAGGAAAGAGTTAATTCCAAGCGGTTATACATATATATGCGTCTTTTTCGTAGTCGTATATTAAGTGCCATGATGTTTGGAGCGTCAGGTTGATTGCGAAGTTTTTTACAACATATGTTCGGTCTGTTTTGGCCAGTTATGGTAATCCAGCGTTATTCAAATCTTCACTACGGCAGTTTTAATGTCCTTTTTTCTTTCCTTTGTTTTGTTTTGGATTCCTATCAAGGATTCTAATTTTTCATTGTTTTTATGAACAAGCTAACTATATACATGTATACATACATACATACATACATACATACATACATACATACATACATACATACATACACATACATACATACATACGTTAGTTGACCACTCCCCATGGAAGCCTTTCAGGGCCAATTCTCACCCATCCCACCCCAGGGGAGGACGTCCACAACACAGTAATCTCGTGCGTGGGAAATTAACAGTATAAGTATATAATTAAGTATATAATTTAGTNGAGCAATCACGAAACAGGCTTGTAGGGATAAAAACGTAATCGTCGTATTTTTCTACTCAACATGTATATCTACATACATACATACACACATACATACATACATACATACATACATACATACATACACACATACATACATACATACATACATACATACATACATACATACATACATACATACATACATACATACATACATACATACATACATACATACATACATACATACATACATACATACATACATACATACATACATACATACATACATACATACATACATACATACATACATACATACATACATACATACATACATACATACATACATACATACATACATACATACATACATACATACATACATACATACATACATACATACATACATACATACATACATACATACATACATACATACATACATACATACATACATACATACATACATACATACATACATACATACATACATACATACATACATACATACATACATACATACATACATACATACATACATACATACATACATACATACATACATACATACATACATACATACATACATACATACATACATACATACATACATACATACATACATACATACATACATACATACATACATACATACATACATACATACATACATACATACATACATACATACATACATACATACATACATACATACATACATACATACATACATACATACATACATACATACATACATACATACATACATACATACATACATACATACATACATACATACATACATACATACATACATACATACATACATACATACATACATACATACATACATACATACATACATACATACATACATACATACATACATACATACATACATACATACATACATACATACATACATACATACATACATACATACATACATACATACATACATACATACATACATACATACATACATACATACATACATACATACATACATACATACATACATACATACATACATACATACATACATACATACATACATACATACATACATACATACATACATACATACATACATACATACATACATACATACATACATACATACATACATACATACATACATACATACATACATACATACATACATACATACATACATACATACATACATACATACATACATACATACATACATACATACATACATACATACATACATACATACATACATACATACATACATACATACATACATACATACATACATACATACATACATACATACATACATACATACATACATACATACATACATACATACATACATACATACAT